ATAGGGTAAAGGGATAAAAACACTCACAAAGTAGTCAACCAAAGCACCCAATATTCTAAAGTGAAAAAAAGATAAAAATGCCCATCATATTACATGGGTGGGTGCAAAAGTAATCAAACTGTTAACTTCGATCTAATGTCGTTAACTTTGACTGTTAAATGTTGAATATGCATGTCATATGTCAGTCTTTGCTAATGTGGACTAATAAAGAGGTAAAAATACCCACGAAATCATCGATCTAGAGTAAAAATACCCACGAAATCATTTATTAGGAGCAAAAATACCCCATAACATTTTCAAAATTGATACAAAAGTGATTAATCCATCAAATGCCTTAAATATTGACCGTTTAATTAACATATAAGTAGAAGTTGACTATTTTTTACTGATGTAGATAAAAAATGTTTCCAAATAAATTTTTATGGATGTTGATTGATTATCATATAAGTATCCATAATGTTACTTTAATAGGTGCAATGATAATCAATCCATCAAAATTCATGCCACATGATTTTTTTCCATCACCACATATCTCGCCCCCCTTCTCTCCAGTTATTTTTTTTTTGTCTACAAAACCTGAGATTCAATATAGTAAAATAAGTTTTACACAATTGAAAATCAAGACTGAGCACACCTCCTATGCTGCTCTACTTTAAGAACATTGTCACAACCTTAAGCAATTTTATTCATGATATGTTCAAAAATTTTAAATGATTTTTGCCATTGCTACAAAGAAACAAGAGATTTAGTTTGATGTTCGATTAAAATAATATTTTCTCACATGATATTCATATAATGATCGATTAACCTTTAGAGAATTTCATTTGGAAATATTTTTTATGTATATCAACAAAAAAAATGGTCAATTTCTGCTTGGGTGTCATCTAAACGATCAACGTTTAAGAAATTTAATGAATTAGTCACTTTTTCATGAACACTGGTAATGTTATGCGTATTTTTACTCTTGGTAGACAATTTCATGTGTATTTTTGCTCTTGTCCAATGACATTGTGGGTATTTTTGCCCTTTTATTAGTCCACGTTAGTAAAAACTGACACGTGACATGTACAATTAGTATTTAACGATCAAAGTTAATGGTGTTAAGTTAAAGTTAATAGTTCAGTCACTTTTGCACCTACTCATATAATATTATAAGTATTTTTACCCTTTTCCTCATTTTAAGATATTGGGTACATCTAGCTGATTACTTTGTGGGTATTTTTATCCCTTTACCCTTCATTATATTTGTCTTTTAAAATTAATATGAATATATTAAGAAATATAATGAATATATAAAAATATGAAAAGTTTTACTAAATTTATCATTCATTAATTTATTCTAAAGACATTATAATAAATACTCCCTCCATTTAAAAATATAAATCACTTTTAACTAATTTATAACCAATAAGTTAATTGACAACATTTAAAAGTACACTTTTTATATTTAACTGTTTACCCTTGTTTGATAATATTTTTCAATTAAAAAATTTTAATTAATTACAACCCCAATTAAGGATATTTCTAAAAAAATTTTATTAATTACAACTTAAAAAATTAAAATATCTTATATTTTTTAACACGATATTTTAAAAAGATTTTTTTATAATTCTTAATGGAGGAAGTAGTAAATTAATTCAAAGGTAAAATAGAAAAAACGTTATTTAATATTGCTTTACAAGTTTAAAAAGAGATGTAACATAAAACAGTTTTTTCTGCCAAAAAAAAATAATGAAACTAGGAGTATTTGCAGAATTGTAACGCTTTTAATTCACCAAAAAAAAAAGATTTGTACTACTTTTACATATCAAATATATATAATATGAAATATAAAAAAAAAAAAGTTATGACCAATAATAGCGACACCTGATCTATTGGGTGTCAGTTGGCGCCTTGCGTTGGGGAGAAATGAATGATACGGATTTGGATTTATTTATGATATTTTTTTATTACTCTTGAGTATCCTATTATCCCAGATAAATTAGGCATTAAATATAAAAAAATTTTAATAGAAATTTGAATTCTAGTTCATCATGCTGTGAAGACTAACCTCTTCTACTAAATCAATTTTATTATTATACTGGGTGGAAAAATAGTTTTCTTTTATGAAATGGTTGAAAGTTATAATATTATTATTGGGGTTAAGAAGCATTTTGGATCCATCAACTATTAATTCACTCAAAAATATTTGATATTTTAAATTTTCATACGATATAATTTTCTCTTTTAATTTTCTCTTTTAATATTTAAAACTAATGCAGTGGGTATCTTGTCGTTGGAAAAGTTAACTTTAATTATTAATTAATTTAAAAATTATAAAAAATGATGTAAAAATTACAGAAAAGAAACAATAAAATAATAAATAAGTATCCTATAATAAAATTAATATCAATTTAGTTTCTTAAATTGCATATAAAACAATAGGGTTGTATTTTTTTATTTTAAAGGAAACAAGAGACAAAGCAATAATCACCTAACCGTCAACGTACCGAAAACTGATAATTTAATTATGGGAAAAATGATAATTTAAATTATAAAAAAGCACTAGCATAAGTCAACGGTTTAGACCCTTCCAATGTATTAAAAAAATTATACATGAACACAAGCTTACACAAAAGATTTATGTTTTGTGCTATGATGATGGGGGTGTTAAATTTAATATCTCAATTCATAGATAGAATAAAGTAATATGTACGTACCTGAAGAATTCATTGATTGCTTGAGATAGTTCGATTATCTCAAGTGTAAACAGATGCATAACTCACTGGTTCCTAGAGTTTTTAGAGAGTATAGAGATAATGGAGTAGAATGAAAATGTATCGTATGTTTTGTGATTATTAATTGATCGACTTATAAGAATCACATCAATAACCGCTTTATTAAAATAATTAATTAATTATATTATATTATTTTTGACTCAGTCAATTAAGAGATAAGAAATAATCAATTTGTAGGTTGAGTCTCTGTTTATTAAGCTCACTTATGTGGTTCACCTATTACAGTACATACAAGATTATAAAAACAAATCTATTTAAACTTATTAATTAATGTAAATTTATATATAAATATTCCAACACCGGAGCATAGGGCCTCCGACGGGAGATATTCTGATACTGCTAGAGACGAGATATTTTGAACTATAAATCACTCTAGTTTGAAAAGATCCATGCAGATGACAATATTAATTGCTCAAATATGTTGACAAGTTCGGGCTTAATAAACATAAATGTCAACGAATTATTAAAGGGCACTTTGAAACTTCTCATAAGAATCTAGATGTTGATTTGACAGATTTGCCAACATTTAAACCTAGTAGATATTTTTCTGTGAGTCTTCCTTGATATTTAAATGGAATGTGCTCCAACGCAAAATATCTTTGTGTGAAGACGTGAAATAGAGGTCAGAATTTTAAAAAAAGAAAAAATAAAAATTAAGGACCTCCTAAGATTGTTAATTATAATTAGAAAACCTAAATTATTAAAATCTTAATAATAGACTATATACTTGTTTGGAATTTAAAAAATATGAGTAGCTTAAAATGTCCTTCAAAAATGACTTTAGTAAATTTTTAAGTTACTATTATATACTCACAAGTGTCTTTAAAAAGTTTTAAAAGTAAATTTTAGTTTTATAATAAGAAACAATCTATTTACAACTAATGTTCATTGGTTTTCCAACTGAAATTAATAATATTCTCATCTCATGATAATAATTTTAACAATGTCATTTCTTTATTTTTCAAGTGGAGGGCAATTTTAAAAACTCATCTATGTTTTTAATTCAAATAAGGAACATGGTCTATTATTCAGATTTTAATAATTTAAGGTTGCTATTTGTAATTAATGGTCTTAGGGGGTCACTAATTGTCATTTTCCCTAAAAAAAAAAATTTGATGATCAATGATGGTTACTTCATTTGAATGGTATGTGTGTGGAGATATGAAGAGAATGCAGGTGCCTCCTTGTCTTAACCGGTGATGAGTTAAAAATCTGATCAATTCCCTTGATTCAAGAAAGATTGCAAACTATATATTTTCTTTTGTATAGAAGATGAAGAAATTTGGTTCGTTAGTGATCATGATTGGACATTTGATTTTGTTTGTTTCTCTTGTTGTTTTGCTTAGTTATAGTTGAGTGTTTGATAATATGCTAATTAGTTGTGAGTCCCGTGTCACACACATATATGGATTTTTGTTTTTTTTAGTAATGCATCTCAATTAAACGGTAGTTGTTGATTTGAAACAAAAAAGAAGTAGCATCTAAACAGAATATAAATAATCTTCATAAAACCATTTATTTGTGACTGCTGAAGTTATGCTTGTATTGAATTGATCAAAATCTCAGCAAGCAGTAATTTCTTCTCATATATATATATATATATATATATTTATCATTATCTTTTCTTTTCATTAATTCATTCTTTCGCTGTGCATATTCTAGAATATATATGTATATATATGAAAAAAAATTATATATATTAATATGTTTATTTTTAATTAAATCAAGACACATTGATCTTTTATAGATTATTTGGTTCATAATAAATTCTTGTGATTAATTTAATTAATACATTAAGATTCACTTATTATGATTTAATTGAATAAAATATATTAAGTACATAAAGTTAAATATATGTGTATTAGGATTTTACATTATAACTTTTGACTTACGATATGATCTGCCAAGCTATATGTCGTTGTGCTGGCACTCTCCCATTTGAGAGATTGTAATGGTTTTCTCATTTATATCGTGGACACATCGATTCAAGTAATGAGAGAGAAAATATTATCTAATTTCCTTTCCTATTTAAGTCAATCTTTGTTGGATATATTATGTTTTGATGATTACAAAACTATTAAAAAATTGTTTTTGCATATTATATAAGAGTATAATGACAAAACTTTCGAGATCAAGAGATTCAAGACAAAACTTGATCTTGTATGTTTATTATTTTACATTTCTCTTAGAATTAAATGTAGAACAAAGTTTGAGAGCTTTACATATGCATGAAAATGGTTTTTGAGACAGAAATATGCATTGAAGTCTTGAACTTAGGATGAAAAATCATTTCAAATATTTTACCATGATTACATGTATGCATGAATTAATCTATCTGAAATGAAATTAAATTCTGACTCTGCGCGCTCATTTACATGTGAATCAGTATTCACCTACGTGTCAATGAGCTTCTGGAATGGTTCCCTTAGTTCTAACTGCCCATTCAAGCATGAATCAATATGATTCACGCATGAATCAAAAGTTGGATTTGGTTGAGCTGTCTGTCAAAAGCCATGATTCACGCATGAATGAAATGTTGGATTTAGTTGAGCTGTCTGTCAAAAGGCATGATTCGCGCATGATTGAGATGTTGGATTTAGTTGAGCTGTCTGTCAAAAGCCATTCACACCTGAACACAGTGGTTTACATGTAAATGAGGTCCTCTGTGTCATTCAAGTCACTATCTTCCCATGCACACAAACCTTATCCTATCCACGCATGAATCAATCCTTCCATAAAATATTTGAATTGTTCACTCTTTCATTCGCAGTGAAGCCCCCCTCCTCACTTGAATCATCCTAAGTTTCATGCCTTCCACATATGCCCCCCTTACTTCAATCACGCACGAATCATTTCTAGCCCACACGTGAATCAAACTTCCAGAGAATTCATTCACTTCTGTGCTCCCATTCACGCGAAAATGAGCCTTTGCTTTTTCCAGAAATATGCCTGCTTGCTTCATTCACTTGTTAACGAGCCTTCTGATAGACATTAAATTCATTTGACATAAAGAGTACTTTTTCACAGAAACTCACTCTACACTCTTCCCAACGGCTCTCAACGGCTAGTTTGAGGTCTCTATAATAAATATAACTTTCTGAAAACTATATATAGAATATCATTTAAGTTGGTTGGTAACATTATTTTCATCCAATTGCATTGAATTTTTTGAAAAACTCTCTTGCTGTGTTTAAAAGCTTTCATTGCTATAATTACTCTTTGTGAGAGTTTCAAAGCTTTTACTTTCTCAAATTATTTTGAGTGAATCTTAAGGAAAAGTTTTCTTTAAGTGGAAATTATATCATTTCATTGGTCTTTAATATTTTTTTATTGTCTACTACAGCCAAATTAAAGTCAAGATTATGGCTATTGCCTCATGAGATTCATGAAGGACATCATCACAGCCCATTCTCCAAAGACAATCCCTGACAAGGTATATATATAAAACTTAATTACATTAAATTATAAATTATAATCAACTTTAATTAGTTAACTAATAACTTAATCTCATGGTGGCTCTCTTTAAATTACATATAGTATTTTGAGGACGTTTACTGCATAAAGTATACAGCTGTGCAAATTGAAGAAGTCCTTTAGGAGGTGACAATAACAACTTTCAATCATTGGATAGCGTTAGTCATTACGCCCACCTAGTTTAGATATAAATTTATTGTCTAATTTTGATGTCTTAGGCCCTTCGCTTAGGAATCTTATTTGCAAATTAGTTGTAAGATTCTATATTGTTCAGAGTTTATATAGGTTCTGGGCATGTATTGTATAAGAATTTTAATGAAATATAGTGTATGATTGTTGTTGTCAAGTATTCTGGGCTATTTTGGTAGTGTCTTTTACAAAATTTACAGCAGCCCCGTTTACAAAAAAAAATCATAAATACTTGACATTTATTTGATAGTTATAAATCAAGGTATTTTTGATAAATTTTTAAACCATAAGGTATTTTTGATAAATTTTTACTAACCCAAGGCCTAGTTTTTATCATAAATACTTGATGTTTAAAGTGAAATAACCATCAAGTATTTCATAATATTTGATAGTTATATGTAAATAAATGTCAAGTATTACCTTTTAAAATTGACTGAATGTTAGATTTGGAAGGTAAAATTTAATAGGTGTCACCAAATAATTGTCAAGTAAGGCCTCTCTTATTTGATGGTCATTGACTATCAAGTAAAGGAGCCTTCAATATATGACGTCACCTTATTTGGCAGTCAAAAATCATCAAATCAAAAAAAATAACCATCAATTAAAGGATTTTTTTTTTATATAGTAGTGGATTATAAGATACTTAAAAGGAATAGTTGATTATGTATATACTATGTTATGAAGGAAGTGATATATGCCTAGTTGAATATTCCAATGCAAATTTGTGAGGAGATGAACATGAGCAAAAATTGACTTCAAGTTATACTTTCTTACTGAGTAACAAGGCCATATGTTGGATCATTAAGAAGTGACATTCATTTCCTTACATTATATGGAAGCTAAGTTTGTAATAGAAGGCTACATGGTTGAAGAGATTTTTAAAACATCTTAGGTTTGAAAATCAAAATACGAATTTGATATTGATTCATTGTAACAATGTTGCAATCATAGCCCCTACACAAAGATCCCAAGTACTGTAGAAAAACTAAGCATATAAACACCAAATACAATTTTGTGAGAGATTATATAGCATATAAGTTTGTTACTATACAATACCTTTCTACAAAGTTTATGATAATAGAATCCCTAACTAAGCCTATTGTCAAGGAGGCATTTGAAAAGCATGTAAAAGCTCTTGGTATATGTGTAGAATTTAAAGTAACAAACTTGATGTGATATCTTTTATTATATTGATAAGAAGCATTTTTCTCATTACTGCCATGTGTGTGAAAGCATGCAATGTCTAATACATTTTAAAGGTTGACAAGGTTAGCTCCCTCACACAAGCAACCACCTTTGGCACTTAAGAGAAAGCAGGCAAATTAAGATTAAAATTATTTGTTCACTAGTGAGGCAATAAAGAGTGTTGATATAGGTAAAAAGAAAATAAACACTGTCACACTCCAAAAATAGAGGGTGACCGGCATGAATTGTTAACCACAATACACATTCCTGTAAGCCTCAAATCAAAAATACATTCCGTTTCTAAAATACATTTTGATTTATATTGAAATTTTAACATTCTTGATAATAATCATTATAATAAAGGATTTAATACTTTTGTAAAAATTTTGATAAAACCTCCCTTATAAATAGGATCTATTGAAAGTTTTACAATACATTACCTCAAACAAAATATTATATCATTCAAGAGTTCAACTTCTTCCAGCTAGCAAATGGAAGAAATAAGGACCTAGCTATAGCAAATGTGGAGCACCTAGGATTTAGTTCACAAAATATAATTTCATAATTCAAGTTTTTACATCAAAAGGTAGTTTAATATACAGCTCCACCACTTCCCAATCATTGATAAATCCTTTAATGATCCACAGGAGATTTAATGTCAGCTAATGAATCTGAGACCAACACATTTTTCAGCAAATAGTATCCCCAAAAATAAAATTTAAAAGTTTAAAACAATAAACTCAAATAATTACATAAAATAATTGAAAAGCTGATAATTCAATATAATAAACTTAATAAATATGCAAATCTTAATCATAACTATAAAACAAGAGTGAACTAAAAATTTCTTTATTCTATCATGATTGAAGAAAAAAAATTATCCATATGTAAATCAAAGTAGTATACTTACTAATTGAAAACTATTGAAATTTCAAATACACAGTTAATTTAAAAATTTAAAATTTTGAGGACTTAACAGAATAGGTAATAAACGTAAACACACAGTTCACAAGGGTAATACTAACCAAATGCAGCCAGAGTCATAAAACAAATGTGAATACGAAACTCATGAACAACAAACATGAAAACAAAGCTTATAAAAATCAAACTAACTAATCATTGACCATGGCGTGCCAAGGGCTAATGGGACTACTGTTAGTAGCTAGTGTTTTGTATAAAGTTCCCCTTTAAATTCATTTTCAAACATACGAGAACATTATTACTATAAAAATATAATTTTTATTCTCAAAATCCAACTCGCATGAAAAATTTTAAGCATTAAAAGCTTGTCAGAATAAAATTTCATAACTAACGTCCATACTTGCAATTATTAGAAAACCAAAATTAATAAAGCTGATAAAAATAATTTAATTAACAAAGTAACTAATATATATCATAGTTGTTATAAAAATAATATACATAAAAATGTAATAATTTTAATAAAAAACTTTTATTGATAAATTAACTAGGGTGCTATTCACTTACTTGTATACCTTCAAGGCCAAAATTCACTTCTGATAACTACAACCTTGTTTTCCTTCTTACAAATACCCTATAAAAATATATAATAAAATCTTAGATGACTCTACTTGAATCAAACAAATTCATTTCAAAAAATCAACTCAATCTAGATTTAACTATAATAACTTTAAAGTTTTAAGATCATAATTTACATATAAGATTTCTCCATAATATTCAGCCGTCATTGATTACTCTATTAAAATAAAATCTCTTCTTAAACCTTTTGTCAAACAGCTAATGTGCCATATCTTCAAACCATTCAATAAAATTTTGTAACATTTAGTTTTCTTACCCAACAATTTCCAAGCATTCAAATAACTTTTAAGACAATATTATACCTTATAAATTATCAACAATATAACTCTCAAAATTCAAATTCATACAAGATCTGAATAACTTATTGAATAAATTCTTTCACAAAACTCAGTTTAGATTTACAACTGAACAATGCCCAAGCTAATACATAATTCTTGTGAGATTAACCGAATTATTAATATATAATCAAGCAAACTTTCCTAACAGACATGTTATCAAACACCTTGCAGACATCCATATCCAACTATAATACTAAGTTTCTTTCTCTTCAATTTCTTTTCCAAAAATTTCATTATCAATGTTTAATTATCCAGGCTTCCCAATTTCATTCCTTCAGCACTAACCAATTAGACTCGAAGAAAATTAAATTTAATCCCTTTCTCTTATAGTAATCAAACATATATAATCGAACCCCAACTATTCCTTAGTCACGTACAACAGCAAACAAGGAAGAAATACTCATAGTTTAGCCATAAACAACCTATGCACAAATAGACTGATCAAGCAATGAGATTTACTCACCCGATCAGTTGAAACAAATGAAAGGCAGAGCTTGAAGCTCCAACGCACAGATCAGCGAATTCAAAACCATATGGAGAAGAACGCGTCACCATGTAAAGATGAGGAAGGAGAAGAGAGGCAGTCGACATTGAAACAAGGGAGGGAAAAGTCCGATGCACCCAACATCCACACCAGAAAGGTGACGCACCAGATTGTTGCTGCTGCTCGAAGAGGAAAGAGGAACCCGACGTCCGAACAGGGGAAGATGAAGACTTAATCGCGATGGCTGGAGCTCATGCACCTGTCGGACGGAAAATTGACTACCGGAGAAGGAGCCTAACGATGATTGACGAAAAGAAGAGAAGCTACAAGGAGGAAGCTTGATGTCGGTGAAGAGAAGGAAAAAATAAATGGGATCCGAGCGATGCTCTGTTTTTCGCTTAAGAAGAAAAAGAAACCTGAACATAGAACAATTGCAAAAATTACAAAAAAGACCCCAAAATTTTGGTAATTTCTGGTAATTTTGCCCTTTTTTAAACAAAATAAAATTACTCTGTTACTTAAAAGGATTTGGACTCTGGACCTTCGGGTAAGGTACTAACATAAGATACGTAAAATACCACTGTTTACTCGTTATAAAATTAATTTAAATAAAATATTAATTGGGAGAATTTTTTTTATATAAAAAAATTAAAAATTAAAAATTAGGTTCATTACAAATACAAATTATATGTCACCTCTACATGAAAGTAGAGTAAGTCGAGATGAGGTCCATGATAGTGCCAAAATGGTGATGTCCTAGGAAAGTGATTGTTTCTTATCAAAATGATATATGTATGGTCAAAAGGAAGATTAATTATCTAAAGTATACACACCTATGCTGGTGTCTAACACATATCTCTTATGATGTCATTTTATTGATTTCATAATTGTAGATGCTATGCATACAAGAAAGGCTATCTATGACATGTATATATATAGGGTTAAAGGGAAAAAATACCTCGAAACTTTTTCATGAAGAGTGCCTCATATCCTAAACTTTTTATAGAAGTAATATCACCCTACAATATTTTTAAAAAGGTGTAATATTATCCCTCCATTAATGTTTATAGTTAAATATGCTTGTTTGACTAATAGATGCTGACATGGAACTATCCCTCTTTTCTCTTTCCTGCTTCTCTTTCTCTTTCTCTGCTAACATGGATGACTCTATTCTCTAAGAATCCCTGTTGACATCAATTGAGTAAGATATCATCGAGTTGGTGAACCACCCACATATTTGAAAGAAGCATCATAATTTGATCAACACTGCCTTAAGGTCAAACTAGAATGGGTATTAGGCTAACCGAGTCTAAGTAAGGGGCTAAAGTTGCGTTGTGCCATATTGTGCCATATGTTGCGAGCATGCATGTTATGCTGCAATGTCACACCCCAAAATCAGGTGTGACCGGCACGAGATATGGGCAAAAAACTTATATTTCTTAAGCCGTAATCGGAGAAACTCTGAAATTAAATATGTTAAACACACTAATAGAGTAATTAGAAATTGATACAATACTAAATCAGATATTCAATTTTTAAAAAAATGTGAAGATCCTACCTGTAGTCTACGTGGAGCACCTAAAACCAGACGCCAGCGTAGGTATAAAGTTCAAATTTTTCATCAAATTAGGATTTGACTAAAATAATTCTTCTGCTTCAATTCAGTAATAAAACTCCTCAGTAGATATCTCGAGTCATGAGTTCAACTATACCATTTGGGACCAAAATATCTTTTTCAGTGAATAACGTTCTAACAATAAATAATTGAATATGAATAAAAGAAAAGTTTGAAACAATTATGCAATTCAAAGAGGCAATGATTCTCATAAAAATTTAATAGACTTCGAAAATAAAAGAATTTTATAAAGTTTAAATAAAATTTTGAACTATTAAAATATCATGTCAAGTATTACTATCACTTGATTGCAAGAAAGTAAGTAAATAAAATAAATAATTATACATAATTCACTAATTAAAAACCAATGGAATGTAAAATCATCAAATAATTAAATTATATTACAGAGACTTATCAGAACAATTAACAATCGTGGACACAAAGTCCATGAGGGTAAATAATCAAACGCGGCTCTTGCCATGAAGACAAACGTGGACACACAATTCACGAGGGTAAGTAACCAAACGCAGCCGAAGCTACGAAACAAACGTGTACACATAGTCCACAAGGGTATCACTAACCAAACGCGGCTTGAAGCCACGAAATAAATGTGAGTACTATGCTCACAAATAACCATCCCTCCGTTCCACGTGTATTGGCCATCACACGGGGCTAGCACTTCCTATAAACACCTTACTAGTTAGGTATACCATGGCACACCAAGGGCTAACGGAACTGCCGTTAGCAACCAGTGTTCTATATAAAATCTTTTTTTAAAACCATTTTCAAACATGCGAGAAAATCATCACTTTCAAGATACAATTCTCATTCTTAAAATCAAACTGGCATGAATATTTTTAAGCATTAAAACTTGCCAGAATCAAATTTCATATCCAATGCTCATGCTTGCATTTATCGAATAATCAAAAAAAATTTCAAAGTCGAACTCGCAAGAATCATTTTCTGTATCAATCCAATATGTGATAAAATAAAAATCTCATAATCAAAGTTTAAACTTGACTTGATTGATTAAATAACATTTCAAATTTGGTAAAGCTAATTTCTCAAAATAAAGAAAGGTTAATCAACAAATATCCAATAATCGCATTAATGCTATTAAAATAATTTCCAGGAAAACGTAGTGTTTTAGTAAAGGAAATTTTGATTGAAAAAAATCAGTTGGGACGCTATCCACTTACCTGATAATTCCCAAATTAATAACATGTTCTTTTAAATACCTCTCCATTTCCTTTTAGCTACGCTATTACATAGACCAAAAGAATAAACAACTTTCTTTAATAAAAACAAATCCAATCCATATATTTCTAATTGATATTTGTGAACCCAATATGTAATCTAGAACATATTTAAAGTCCTCAATCCTTATTTGTCTTTAACCCACCATTTGTATTTAAAATTTATATTCTTTTCGTTCATTTCTCCCACCTATAATGATGTATTCATCTTTACCATGCCTCCTTCCCTTAATAAGCAATAAATGATTTATCCTTAAGGCTCGTCAATAATTCTTCACAAAATACGCTTTATTTGAAACAGTACAATTTCTTACCTTACACAACCACAATTGATCTTATGACCTCTTTAATTCAATATCATAAAGGTTATCAAGTATAACAAAGTTTTTTTTTCTAGATTCCCTTGTGCCTCAAGACCAAACTAATCTAAAAATTTTAAAATTTCACCTAATATGTTCAAATTCTAACCTATACACCATTAAGCCAACTTCTTGATTTTTCCAAGCTTCATCATAGAAAATAATTAACTTATTTTGTCAATCAAATTCCGCAATAAGAATCACTTAATTTCAAGGGGAAAAACTCAAGCCAAACCACCTTCATTGTATTCAAATTCTCTTATAACTCAGGTATACGCAAGAACAGAACAAATAGCAAAGAAAAATTTACAATCCCAACCACATAAACATACTCACAAAACACATATTAATAAGTTCATATATTAACAAAAAATCAAGTGACCTAAACATTAAAATTTAATTAAAATTAACTTGATGAAGTTTAAGTACTCATTTATATAAAAATTTTCATTCAAACATTCTGTCAAACCCTCATGTGCAAAGAAAAGAATTAATATGACAAGCTTCTTGCTTTCCTTAATTCTCTATCCAAGCCACATATTGACCTCAACAAGTCTTCTCCTAAAAACTCATGTCCATCACTTATTATCTTTCTCTTAACACTTCAAATTTCAACTTAAATTAATTTTCATCCCTAATCCATAGTTATAGCAGTAGAAAGAAGAAGAATCACCATCTCAATCATATCACACACACATACACGGAACAAGAAGAGAAAAATGATTTGATACCTCATAATGCGAAATAAAGACAGAGAAAGAAAGGAGAATCCAAACGTGCTTTAAACAGGGGAGGGATTAATTTTGGTTACTGCAGCAATGGAGAAAGGGAGAGAAGAGGCTGATGAAAACTTCCAACAGTAGCAATAAAAGCTTCTTCGTGCACTACCTCCCCGGCAGCTTAGCATCCCACGGCCACCATCAGCACAGACAAGGACGAAGAGAAATGGTGCAGCAAACAGGGAAGACAAAACGGCGAGCACAGAGACGACATGCATGGCTCCGCAATGAAAATCCCATGGTAGCTCGTGATTAGATGAGTGACAGAGGTAACAGTGAAGACTGAGAAGAAAAGAGACGAGAGACGCAGAGGAAAGGAAAATTGATGCGAGAACAGGGGAGGAAGGAGCTGGGTATCCGGTGAAACTCCTTCAGTAGCAAACCACAGCAACAAAATGTAAAGGAAGGATATTCCAGCGAACACTCATAGCTGCTTGGATGGAGGAGGAAGATGAAGTCTCCAGCAGCATGCGCGCACACACAGACGCCGACGTCGGATGGAAGAGAAAATAGCTAATGGATGTGCTGCACAGGAGAAGGAAATCGATGATCTTGAAAAATGAAGAAGGAAGATTGTTAGCCCCCTGAACCACGGCCACAGTGGCCAATTGCACCTGAGCAGAAATGAGAAGGAAGAAAGGCGGTGGATGAAGTCTCTCGAATCTCTCGTGTCACTGCCAGAGCCAGAAAATGAGAAGAGGAGGAAAAGAAAAATCTGCCCTCTCTCCTCCGTACGTGTATGTTTGATATATATATATATATATATATTATTTTATTTTTATTTTTTTATTAGCAAAAATAATAATTTCCTAAAAACTAACATAAGACAAAACACTTCTCATATGCATGCATTTTTTAAAAAAAAAAATTAAGGAACTAATGGATTATTTTTATTTTTTTTTATTACCACAATTTTCACAAGACCAACATTTCCTCTTGATATAATTATTCTAAGAATTATTAAAATATAATCAAATACTCCATCATAAATTTAATCCTAATTTAAACTCTTTAATTATTACATTATTTGTCCACTTTCATTACACCAACACTCCTCCATATTATAGTTATTCCAAACATTAATAAAATACACTCAAAACAAATTATTACATATATAATTTATCATTATTATTTCATTCATTCATTTATTATTATTTTAATTTAAAATTTTATGGTTGTTACATGCAATGCATACACTTTTTCTACAATAAAGCATACACAATATGTGTTTGACAAACAAAACAATAGAGTGAGTATTTAGGGAGTGCGTTGAGAAATTTGAGGAATTCTAAGGCTTACGTGGGGAGCCTCTTAAAGGTAATTTGAGCTTGACTAACATCTAAATAAGCTTCCTAATTGTTTCTCCTCCTCGTTATGTGAATTGTGGTGTTTGGGTGTTGGGAGATGATATTTTGTCTTTGGGGAGGTTTAATCCAAACATACTAAGTTTTTCTAGGATTAATGGGAGTTAATTTAAGTTACTATACCTAGGTTTAGTGATTTTATAATGTTTTGTGGTTAGACTTTAGGGTTTGGATGAACCCTAGGTTAAATTTAGGACTTGGAGAGAAATTTGAGGCATAATCTAGTGTTATTTAAGTTTAGGAAAACTATATGATGTTAATGAAATGTCGTTGGGTCATCAAATTAGTTAATGATAAAGGTTTAAGATTATGGGTAGCTAATTTGAGCTAAGTAATGCTTATGCTAGAACAAATAATTAATGATTAGCATTTGATTATATAGATTATAGTTGTTTGGAACCTCTTTGAGCTTGTGGAGGATTGAGAATCCTTGGTGTTCCACGGGTAACATTAAAAGGTTGAGGTAACTAGATAATCTATAATATCCGATAAAACTTAACCCCTAATTAGATGAGTAAATGAGGTTCATTAAGTAAATTAATGTGGTGCGTGGTTATAAAGAGCTAATAGATGTTATGGGTTGTGATTTCAACTTTAGGATTGAATTCAAAGTGAAGTTGGGCCGTTTGGATATCAAAAAGTGAGAAAAACAAAGGAAAATGACTCTGTGCCACATTTTGCGGTGCATGATTAATCAAAGCATGAGGATCCCTCTTTGTACCATATGCTGCAACATGTGGTGCATGTGGTATTATGCATGGTCATGTTTTTACAAAAATAAGAATGTGAAACAAATATAAAACAGAGGAGAAACAAAAGAGGAAACAATGAGCACGTGAAAACATCTGTTAAGACTTGGGATTTGAAACCATTAGGAATATTTTGAGCCTTCTAAACATTAAAAGTAAGATTTCTAAGCTCTTTCTCTCTCTTCCTCTTGCATTTTCTTGATGTTGGGGGTTAGGATTTATTTGAGAAAAATGATTTTTCAATCTATAGGGGCAATAGGTCCAAACTTATTGACTTAAATAGAGTTAATGTAACTTGTGTAGGTTATTTAAACCTAGCATTTGTGGCATTGTGAGTTTTGGTAGTTAAGGGGGAATAAATACCTAAAATTCCACCATAAATGAGGTGGTTGGAGTAATGTGAGGCCATTAATAACTAGTTGGAAGTTTAATGAAGTTAATATGAGTTAGAGAAAACTAATAAATCCTATGGGTATTCTTGTATATGAGGGGATTGAGTTATGAGAGTTGGAAATGTTAATTTAGATATTGAAAATTATTCTAAAAAAGGGTATTGATGTTTAATGGTGTGATTAAATGTAAAGAAATCACAACTTAGCACCATTCAAGCTTTGTAAAAGCTTTAGAGGAGTAATGAGTTTAAAATCCACATGGTAAGGCTACCATTAGCGTTTGATGGTTTGCCTAAATTTATTTATACTTATCATCCCACTTGTTCAATGAGAGACTATCCTATTGTGTAATAAGGGACTCGAACCTACTCTAATTTCTATTTGTTCGATGAGGAAGCAACTTTAAGGAGAACAACATCCCACAGTGTGAGAATTGGAAGAAACCGTGACCCACAATTGAGTTAAACAACCTTGGTAGGTAGCTTCTCATATATGAATGGCTAAGGTAGTCTCATCACAGGAACAATTCCTAATGTGTAATAGCTCATGGTTTTGTATTAGAGGCATATGGAGGATATAAGGAAAATGTGATCATGCATATTATAATAAAGGGCATATGATTGCTTGTATTGTGTCCCTTATTTTGAGAACATGTGATAATATGAGTTTAATATCATAATTGGAAAATTTATACTGCCATGTGTGAAAAAAAATATTGTGAATTTGAGAAAATAATATTGTAACTTGTGAAAATAGAATTTGAATGTGGATGACATAAGTGAGGTGATAAATCACCTCTTGCATTTCGAATTGATTGACATGCATTATTATAAGTTAGATAGACCTTAGTTACTAAGTGATTATACTCACCCATCTCTCTTAAATATTACAGAAGCTAGCTTAGTAGGACAAGACCGAGGGAAAGATACTAGGGCTTAGGATTTCTATCCTAAATTGTAGGCCTCATTTAAATTTGAGTACTTATATATATAATATACTTTGGTATTGCCAACTAGGATAATCTATGATTACTTACTCGCACAATGTGAATATTAAGTTAAATTGTGTATTTTGGGCTCCAAGTTGTGTATATGATAATTGTGAAATCTAGAAAGGGCCAAAATATTAGTGTAAGTGAGAGGTGAGCAAATATGCGATTAATATTGATTTGGTATGATAATTATGAAATTAAGGCTCATTCTTCTATTTTTATGATTATAGGGTTGAGCATTGAAAATGTGTTAGATGTGTTAATTATATAATATAGTGTATTACACATATCTATTATAGTCTATTGAGTGTAGTTTAAAGTGAAATTTAAGGCTTTGGCACTTGGAATGAAATTTAGGCACCCAAGTTGTATTTAAAATGTGAAAAAGAGTGAGTTGAAAAAAAGGGTGTCCAATTTTTGACTGAGAAATAATTTGATTATCAAACTAGTGCCATTAGCTAGAGTTAGGAGAAAGCTCTCTATAAATCTAGATTACCTCAATTGGATATCGGACGGAGCAATAGGACTTGTCTAAAGCCCACCCTAGTTGTTGTCAAATGACCACAACAATGTTGTAAAAAAATATGCAATGTGTTGCAGCGCATGGCATAGAGGCAAACGTGCTGTGGCACATGTACAACAAGTCATGGTGCACCTTTGTTTTGCTGCACTATTTTGCTATTTTCAACTATATTGCAAATGCTTTGATTTGTTCAAGATTCCATACTTTTACATACACTTTCTACTTTGATTTTTGAATTAATGAAGGTATATCGAAGTGTTTCAGATTTTGAAAACTTGGGATCCTGTTGTGTAAAACTTACAAACTTGGTAATCCTTTTGGGTTAATCCTTTGATTATATTTCTCTTTAGAGTTAAGTGGAGATTAATGATCTATTATTATGGAGTAGTTGGATGCATCAATAATACACGTTTTTATCATGTAAATGTTTATTTTTATTTCTAATATAATATTTATGATTTTTATTTCATTGTTAATATTTTTATTATTATTAAATGTATCTTCACAAAATATACACCCAACTTGATGTCAATCATTATTATATGTTCTTATCCTCACTCTTAATTTCAGTTGGCAAACCAAATCAAAAAGTGTCTTATATTGAAAGTGCGATGCATAGGCTAAAGAAGATGTGTTTTTTTTTTTCCACAAATTGTTGAAAGGCATTAAACTTCTTATTCATCTTTCAATTTATAAAAAATTTGCTTAATGATATGATATTAATATAAACTGATATATTGTAGCAATCATTGGATGCTTCCTATCATTTGTTCTTATGAAAATACTATATATTGGCTCTATTCATTACAATGGAAAGTAAATGATGATATGAAGTTATTAATTGAATCATAAGTTTTTGAATAACTCTTTTTTTTGTTATATTATAGCATGTTTTTAATATTTTCTAAGCGCGTATATTTGATAAATAAATCTTTACTTGTTATTGGAAGTTAGCGAATAGAGTTGACAAGAAAAATACTAAAATTAAGGGGCTGCTCATGCAAGTAAGTATTTTAAATTTATTCTCAAATTAGAATAAAGATTACACTATGGGTTTTATGATTTGAATTGGTTTGTGTAGAGTGTGGTTATTATATAATGATTTTCATGTGCGAAATCATCACTCAAGGTAATAATAATTTACAGTTTATAACTCACCCTGTATTTGAATTAATATTCATGCATATATTTTTATTGACTTTACATCATTTTAAAAATTTAGAGCCATATTCCAAGCAAGAGGTGAGACATATAAGGAATATTTGTTACTTTTTATAATTGATAAGATTATAGTAGATAATTAGATAGATATTTGCATTGAATATGTAGAAATTTAATTGAGATGTTTTCACTAGTATCTGAAGTTGCTATTTATATATAAAATGTGCTTTCTTTTTTCTTTTAAAAGATAACATATAGCCACAGTTGTGCACAAACCTATCACAAAAAATATACTTATAACAATTATGACTAAAATTGCAGCTATAATTAAGGGTGTTTACAGGCTCGATTTAGTTTGGTTTTAGGCAAAAATTAGACCGAACCAAACCAATTGGTTTGCTCATGAGTGAAACTTGATTGGTTTCTATGAAAATTGATTTGGTTCAGTTTTTGTTTCAGTTTGGTTTGGTTTGGTTAAGGTCTAAATTAAGTTTCAATGACTTTATTTGACTTTTTTTTTCTTTTTTCCCATCGTTATAATAGCTGGATTTCTTTTAATTTGAATTAATTTATGCATTGCTTTCTCTTTTATCGTATGGAAGGTCCTTGCTTATCTCATGCTTTATTTCAATCATAATATATTTATGGAAGGTCTTTGAATCTTGATTAATCACATATCTTATACATACATGTTCATTCTTTTTTTTAGATATTTATTTATTTATCTTATACCTTTATTTATTTTTTGCAAATTAATTTTATAATTGCAAACAGAAAAAAATCAAAATAATGATGGTGATCAACTAATCATCTTTATGATTTTATTAGATGCACTATTTGAATCTTCATGGAAAAAATTCATTACCTAATAAAAAGTAGCAAACATTTAAATATCTCAAATCTAAATATCCAAAATTTCAAATATCATGCTATTTAATGTTAATACTTATATCCATAGTCCCATACATATATATTCTAAACATAACATCCATCTCTCAATATTATAATATTTACTTAAACTATACCAATTGTCTCTTATCCAAAAAAGAACTGATATATTTTACTTGTCTTTAAACAAAAAAGAGACATTCATATACTTAAAATTATTCAAAAAAAAAAGCATTCTATCTCAAACATCAATATATTATTATCTAAGGCATAACACCTGAAATGAAGGAGAAAAACAAGTTGACACATGAATAAAAAAATATTGGATTGGGTCAACAGTTTGGGTGATTGGGTGTTGGAATTAGTTAGATAGATTTTATATAAATAAATATTATTTTTTAAATCAAGCTTGATTCAAGTTCGATTTGGTTTTCAAATCTCAAAAGTAAAATCAAATCAAACTAATAGTTTGTATGTCATAAAAATTGAAATAGACTTGATCAATGGTCATTTTTGGTTGATTCATTTCGGTTTGAGTCAGTTTGGTTTGATCCTTTTAGTTTGAATTAGTTTTGAATATCCTTAGTTATAATATTTGATTTACAATGATTGTTCCCTTGTGAATTGTCATTGTAAGTTATAACATTTCACGACAATTAATCCTTTGAATTGTCATGAAAAGTGATAACTTACAACAACGAAAATTCACTTATACACTATCGTGAAAAGTCTCATATTACAATTACATTTGTTTCTATCACACTGTTTCTTTCATCATGAAAATAACTTTTTAAATTATCGTGAAAAATATTTTTTGACACTAGTGATTTGGTTGTGTAAAGTATACATATGTTTGATTTCTATGTCTCAAAAAGGATTATTTCTAAACTATGCTAAAGGATCCTTTGAAACACACAAATTAATGCATCTGCTTGATCTAGGTTGATTTTTTTTTTTTTAAAGATTTTTCTGTCATCCTATATATGTTCCTAAATTTGTGCAATGTCACGGTCACACTTCCGTGGATGCAAAAAATTCGTCTATTATTATAATTAACGCTGCTGGCGCATATCTATTTCAAATTGTCCCGAAGTCCATGGCCGCAGTCCACGTGGCTTGCCTTTATCCTTCCGACAAGACGCTGGCCAGCTGTATTGATTATTGAGTGCCTAAAAGGGTAAGTGAATCCAATGTCGGACCAAGACAAAACACTAATTTTTCCCACATTCACGAGTTTGACATATTAATTATTTTTTAGCCAAAAAAAAAACATATTAATTATTTTATTTATAAAAATATATCAAACAAATCTATGAATCTATATTAAATCAATAGAATGTCGTTAGACTCTGTTTGGATCTATGAATCTTCGTGTCAAACAAATCTATAAATCTATATTAATCTTCCTGTTCTGTAATCCTTTGATCACCAAAAAAAAAAGAAAAGAAAAAATAAAAAAATCAATAGAATGTTGCATTTGATATAAGCCATGGACATAGCTGCACTGCCTACCCTATGCTTTGTGCAACATAACATATAGTACACAATTGCATTATGGGAAATGGATCCTCTGAAATTAGAAATCCGTGAATTTGACAAAGTTTATATTTTTAAGTGAGAGAGATTTAATGTTATGTTTTATAAAAAAGAATAATGAAATGGAAAAGATATATATATATATATATATATAAAGAAAAATTCGGGTAAATTTATGGATCTCAACTTTAGAGAATTTGTTCCTACATCATGTTGTGTCATCTTTCCCCTAACACCCAAACGAATAAAAAGCAACACCCCACTTACCTACACACCCACACAACTAAACGTTCCTTCCATCCATCCCGTTGGTGACCAATTTCCTTTTTGCCTTTTTATGTTGCGTTTTTTTAATTTCGCATCCATACTTAAAAATTTTCGTTCTTGCAATCGGTTCCTTTCGGCACAGATGGCATGTGTCGATCGTTTTGATGGGATCTGACTTGTACGAATCCAATTTAAAAAGTATTATAGCCAACATTTGTATTTGCCCTTTTTAATTTAAACTCCATTTTAGTTATATAGAAAAGTCACTTCTAATCATTTTACTATAACCAAGAATACTTAAATCATTGACCTTATCTGGGAATTATGAGTCTGTTTGATTTTTGTTTTTTTAAAAAGTTTTTCATCTTTTAAAAACAAAAAATTGAAAAAAATCCGATTGAGTAATTGTTTTGGATTTAAGCGTTTAAAAAAATTTCTTTTTTTGTTTTTTAAAATGAAAAATGGAAATATTTTAAAATTATTTTTCTCTCTATTTTTATTTTTAAAGCACACTATATTTGACTATTGTAAATTATCTTCAATTATGGTCATCACTATCATAAACCATCATCAACCACACTAGCCATTTTTTAACTCTAAAATTATTTTTAAATTAACATATATCAAACATTAGATTTTCATTTTGTTTTGTTTTGAAAAATAATTTTTATAAATTAGTTTATAAAATATTTTTTAAAAATAAAAAATGAGAACAAAACCAAACTAGCCCTATATATATATATATATCTCTCTCTCTCTATTTTATTTTTTAAAACAATTTTGAATTCTGTGTATAATAAAATATAAAAATATAGAAAGTAAATATTGAATAAAATCTCAACCACCCACGTTTAATAATTAATTTGTGCATTCTCATCATTCCAAATGAGACAACATAGTTGAGTGTAATTTTTCTTTTTGACTCTGTCGCGTGTATTGTGTGTTTCGTCGAGCAGCAGAAGAGAAAACACAGTGAAATTTTCAAGTGGCATGAAGACCCCACAAAGAAAGAGACAGCGAAATATCATTTCTTCATACAGAGTAGTGGTTTGCCAGAGCAAGAGCAAAAGAAAGAAGCCATGGACAATTTCCTGGCCCTCGCCCTAACCTCCATTCCCTGTGCATCCTTTCTCATCTACAAATCTTGTTTCGTTCGATCAACATCGTCTTCTTCATACAAGCTCCCACCAGGCCCTCGTCCCTACCCAGTAATTGGGAACATCCTTGAGCTCGGCTCTAACCCTCTCTTGTCCATCACGAACCTCTCCAAATCTCACGGACCCATTATATCACTCAAGTTAGGCACAAGGATCGCCATAATTATCTCTTCTCAAGAAATAGCCGGAGAAGCTTTTCACAAACACGACCTAGACTTCTCTAGTCGAACCTTCCCTGACAGTGCTCGAGCTCTCAATCATTACCAAGTCTCCATAGCTTGGCCTCCTGTTTCAACTCAATGGAGAGCCCTTAGACGAGCTTGTGTTATGAAAATTTTCTCAAATCTGAAGCTAGACTCCACCTAGTTTCTACGTCAAAACAAGGTAGTGTTAAACTCTTTATATTAATTGCGCTTGAGGGTAATTTTGTTAGACACATCCAATTTTTATATATTCATAATCTATCTTTTAATTTCTAGATGAGGAATTTCTTTGATTTCTTTATTTCTAATAGGTAGGAGACTTAATCAATCATGTCCATGAATATTCCATTAAAGGTGAGGCTATATATCTCGCTGAGGCTTTCTTTAACACAGTTCTCAATTTAGTGTTGAACATGCTTTTCTCCATGGGTTTTGCTTGTTATGGTTCCAATAAGACTCAGGAGTATAAGAAGTTAGTGACTGGGATCGGGGATAAAAATGGGAGGCCTAATGTTTCTGATATTTTTCCTGTTTTGAGTTTTCTTGATCCACAAGGCGTTCGCGCGAGGATGGGAGGTTATTATACAAAGTTTTATAAACTTGTTGATGATATTTGGGAAGAGAGATTGCATTTCAGAGGTTCCAACATGGTTTCCAAAGAAAACAATGATGTGTTGGATTCAATTCTTGATCTTATCGAAGATGATTCTTCACAATTGAGCTGTGGTGATGTCGTTCATTTGTTCATAATGAGTATCAATAGTTAAATTTAATTTTGGGTCAATGATAATTTTTTTAGAAGCTCTAGGCATCCTATATTAAAAGATAGGGCAATATCCCCTTGTAGAATTTTTTTTTAGGAATAAGATTACCCTTCCGTCATAAACTCATCATTGTCTTTATTATTTACTAACATGAAAAAGTTGTCGGGCCCACACATAGTGATAGCAAGGCATTCTGACATATTTTCATGCTATTTTGCTTCTACTAGTTCTTGCTACTGTCACTTTCAACCCCTTTGGTCCATGTCAAATGGTCAAAGGGAGTCAAAATGCCTAATTGTTACTACGCAATGACCCCACAATTATTCCATATTAGCAAAAAACTGAGAAGATAATGGTCCTCTAACAGAAGGACAATCTTACTCTTGAAAAAGATATTTAGTGTGGACATTGCACCACCTTTTAATGTAGGGTACCTAACACTCTTGAAAAAGGTTTAAGAATTAATTTTGATTCCCAAGTTTTCTTGCTGTAATTCACTTTATATATAAATTACTTATTTTATCAAAATGGTTGAAGGTTGCTGAAAGAAATAATATAGATTTATGTAATATTACATTACAAGATCAATATGTTAATTTAGCTTTTTATTAAGAGAAAGATAAAATAAACTAAAGTAAAGTATTTTTTCCCTTTTGCATGCTGGCTTATCACACAAAATATATGATAGCAATAGAGAAATTCTTGCATGGATCACGAGTATCATCTTGTTCATGCTATATCTATCCAATAATGCAATAAATTAATCAAATAGAATCTTATTTATAATTATTTTTAATGTTTTTTTAAATAGAGTACCTCTTCAATTTCTTGTCTTTTCTTTCTCTACTATTATTATAAATGAGGGGGAAAGAAAAGGTGACATAAATGAGAGATAATACAAAACATTAAATGAATTTAATATGGCATGTTTGTGCCTGTTTGATAATTAACTTAACTAATCATTGCTTGATATTTCAGGATTTATTTGTGGCGGGGACTAACACAACATCGAGCAAACTCGAATGGACAATGGCAGAATTAATACGAAACCCAAAGAAAATGGTGAATGTAAGAACAAAACTCCAACATGTTCTTGGTAATAAAAATAATACTTTCAATCTTGAAGAGACTATGAGCTCAAAGTTGCCTTACCTACAAGCAATACAAAAAGAGACTTTACACGTACACCCACCAGTACCATTTCTACTACCTTGCAAGGCAATTTGTGATGTAGAGTTATGTGGCTTCTTAGTTTCCAAAAACGCACAGATTTTAGTAAATGTGTGGGCTATGGAAAGAGACCCAACCATATGGGATAAACCTAATTCATTTATCCCTAAAAGGTTTTTGGAAAGTGAGATTGATTTTAAGGCTAATGATTTTAAGTTTATTCCATTTGGTGCTGGGAGGAGGATGTGTCCTGGGTTGCCCTTGGCTTCTAGGGTACTTCCCTTTATGTTGGCATCTCTTATATATCACTTTGATTGGAAGGTTCCATATGGGATAAAGCCAGAGGATATGGATATGAGTCAAAACTACGGGATTTTATTGCATAAGGCTCAACCTCTGAGAGCTGTTCCTGTCAAAATTTTGGTAATTATGAATTTGTTAATTTCATTCATGATGAAGAATTAAGTGTTGGTAAAAGCATGTGATACTCGATTAAATAAATAATAACTTGTGTTGCTTGCCTCGGGCTCGTCATGTAGTTTTCACTTCAATAGTCTACAACTCTATAATCTCAATAAATACATTTAGAAATATTTTGGGTCATTGTAAAAGGGTTCCCAACTAGAAACAACTCATACGTTAAACTATAACACCATGTACTTAAACATTAATTATGCCGATTTAATTATCAAGACCTCTTTCATCAAGTTTGCCATAAATTTCTAATTTTATCAAATTCTGCAAACCTAGAAAACTTCATCGCATAATACAAACCCAGAAACCCTAAACCTAAAATCTTCTACACCCAAAAGCTTCATTGTGTTCTTCATGTACTTCAACCCAGAAATTATCTCTCACGTGAAGTGTCTTTTATTTTGGCCTTGCTTCTTCTTATTCTTCTTCAATTCATGGATGCTTCGTTTCTCTGAGCTTCAATCTCTTGCATTTGTGCCTCAAGAATAGTGTCCGTTGATGATTCAATTAATCCATTCCCGTTTGTGTGCGTGCTTCAACTCAGGTATTTTTTTTTTAAAAAAAATTCATTAATGTTCATGATCTGGATTTCTTGCTGGGTTTTCTTGTCTCTGCCATTTGGTTTTCTTGATGGGTGTTCTGATTAAGGCAGAACATAGTCAATTTTTATGATAAAAATGGTAACATGAGTACATGTTTTAAAGGTTAGCTTAGGATAGAAAATAGGAACATGATCAATTAACCATAATCAATCACAAATTTAAGGCAGAACACTAGTGTTTGAATTTTTAGCTTAGGTTAGATAATGATAATATGAGTGTTAGTTAAATTTGTTTGCCTTTAACTTCATGACAGTCCAACTTTTAGGCTAGTTAGTATAAAGAATGGAAACTTCTCAAGAATATGTCTAAATTTAGTTAAATTTGTTAGCATATTATGGGAACACGAGTGTTGCAAATTGGTCCGCTAGCTGTGATTGATTATGGTAGCATGTTTAAATTGTTTCAATGTGTTAATATGCCTTTATTGAATTGTTGTACGTGCTTGTAAACTTATTAATTAGTCTTTGTAGCTTTGTTTATTCTTTAATTTGTGAATTGAACTGAAGTATTGGGAGGTTTAATTTTTAAAAAAGATTCTATCTAAATTGAGTTGAATTAAATTATTATGATTATATGACTGGTTTATCTTCCATACTCTAGTAATGAATGCAGCATCTTCCTCTAGAAAGAAACTTTTGTTTGGACTTTAGAAAAGATTACTTTAAAGGAGCTTTAGAAAGAGGAAACAAGTTTATGTGGATGCATATGTGGGGACATGACCAGGGCCGTGTAATGTATTATTATTTATATATCTTCACATCACTTTTCTAACTTTTTGAACTATAAAATCAAATATTAACTTTTTATAATTAAATAATTTTATCATTTCACTTTCAATAAATAACATAGCTAATTCATTTTATTTATTTTGCAACACGGTTGATCATAAATAAAATTTAAGTAATTTTAATTTTAAAAAAATTCTGTCAATAATAGCAATTGTTATTGGCAATGTCAATAATAATTTATAAACAATAAAAAAAAATAGTGACATGGACAGAGAGCATGACAGTGAGCAACACGTGTGCGGGTGGATGTGGACAAAAGTTTCAGCCCATCCCACCCGTTCTCTCACGCCAATGGACGGAAATTGCAATGTCCCGAAGTGGACATGTGCGAAAACAAGCCAATATTTAAGGTGTCGGCATTGCCATGTTTAATAGCATTGAATTTACAAGATAAAAATAAAATAAAGATAGAATTTTAATTTAAACATGATTGATATGCAAGAATTATAATTTTTAAAAATCCTAATTTCATCAAAAATGCTAGAATTTAATTCTATCATATTAATAATAAAATTGTTTCAATTCCCTTGAATTCAATTTGTGGACCCCATTTTCTTCATTTTTTTGTCTATTTATAATAAGATAGGTCTTTTTAATTTTTTAAAAAAGGATAATTTAGTCTTTTCTTATTTTAAGTACCTATATAAATTAATATTATATTAGAATTTCATCTTCATACCAAACACACTTTTAAAACTCAATTCTATTCCGATTCTGATTTCAATTCCAATTTCGATTCCGATTTCAATTTCATTAAAAACTCTTCCATCATACCAAATGAGTCCTCAGTGTCCTGAGTGCTCATCAGGCGCAGCCAAATTTTGGCATTTCATTTTATTCTGAAATAATTTCTCTCATTTATTTTAAATTAATTTTTAAATATTTTAAATATTATATTTATTAGTATAAAAATTATAAAAAATTCTTATATTAAAACTGAATTGTCTAGAATATATTTATATGATCTGTAAAAATTATAAAAAAATTTAATATTAAAATGGGTCTCTAGATTATACATAAACTATTCAGAGTACATTTAAATAGTTAAATTATAAAAATTAAATTGAACCTTTTAAATTAAATTTATACTGACCAGATTAGTAATAAACGAATTGATTATTTCATGAATGTATAGCGCACCAATCTCTAAATTAAAAGAGTTTTTCTTATTTTAACTTCAGGAATATTATATGATTATTTCACGAATAATTTGTATAAGAATAATCTGGAACTTAACAAATAAAATGTGCGCAGGGAATTTAAGAAAGCTTATCCTTTTATTTTCGGATATACAAAACTTGAATTATACATGATTAAGGATGGGGAATAAAAAAGATTATTTCGAGCGATTGTGGATGTGGAATCAAAGGTCTTCGGCTATTATGGTGTTGCTTGGTGCTTGTGCATGTAAATTTGAAAGTGCTACAAAGTCCATGATCATGTTCCACGTGTCACGAGGTTTGCCTTCCTTATCCGTTTGATAAAGACAAGACACTGCATTTTATCACCCTATGCCTCAACGGGACGAAAGGCGACACCAAGGCAACTTGATATTTTTATACATCTGCATGCTAGCTTGTTTGACATATTAACTAGGTGAAGTGATAGTCAGGAATCTTGTAAATATATTGGAAAATGATAAAATATTTTTAATTATTAAAATTAGGTCATTCATGAATTTGAAAAAATTTAATTGTAAATTTAAGATTCTCATACAAAATTAATTGCAAAAAGATAAATAGTTTCATGAATATATACATTTTTACTTATAAATTTAAGAAGAAACACTTGTGAATTTTTTAAAAGTTACTTAGTAAATTTGTGAAAAGTAAGTTATAAAGGAATATTTAAAAACATGATAGGCACTACTATAAGAAGAACTTTTAATAAAAGTTATTTTAATTTTTTACATTAGTTATGAAGGAAAGTTGAAAAAAGGGAAGTGAAAAATTTAATTTTAATATCAGTTAATTAACCAACATAAAAAAAGACTTTTCATGTTAGTTATAAATAGAACTGATGTGGAAAGTCCTAAGAGATAAAGTTTAAATTTTTTTGAAATAAAAAACTTACAATTAAGACTATTTACAATTTAAATTATTTATATTCATTTAAGAGATAAAGCATAAATTCATGAGATTATCTATTCATTCACAATTAAATTTTCATAAATGTACAACTGACATTCTTGAAAATTAAAATTAACAATTGACTATCCTTAAATTCATAAGTGGCAGTATAAAAAATTCATAAAATTATATATCCATTCACAATTAAATTTTTATTAATTTAAAAATAACATTACTTAAATTTACAATTATCTTTATGTAAAATCATAATTCACATTTTGTAACACCCCAGCTAAAAATATAGTAGATGCTTAGAGATTTTCAAATAGATTTTTGAAACAGGACCTCTTACCCCGAGGAGCCCAATAGAAACATACAAATAGGGCCACCAAGTGCCGCCGAGACTCAAGCAAGCTAAAATAGAACAATAATAAAATATATAATCCATGATGATGCATCGAAAATTAAATAGTTTAATAATTCAACATAGTAAACCATGCATCAATCAGCAGTGATTGTAAACGCAATTATTTAGCAAAATAGGAGTATTACAAATGTCAACCTCAAAAGTCTTAGTAACTTGTCATGAATGGGCTTGATTTGTGGGCTACAAATATGAAGCAGTTTCTTAATGTGGGCCTAAGGCTTAATTATTGGGCCAAATAATAGAGGGGCTTTGGGGTTGAGGTGCAGCAGAAAAGAATTCGGTCGTCACTTTCTCCGTGTTCAACCTTCTTTCCTCTATGTTTTCTTCCCTCCCCCTGTGCTATCGCTCTCATATTTTTTTATGTTAATTTCCTTCCATTTTCTTAGCATCTTCATGCCAATAGTTGTAATGAATGATATATGAACTCTTTTCCTGAGATATTGAGGTAATATTAATAGAATATTTGTATTCAGTGGTATTTTTGTGTTCTATTCACTGCTATCAAATTGGTGATCGTGACTCTTAACACTTGGCATTTGTAAACAGTAATAACTCCTCACTATAATACATATGCCCAGTATTTAGAACAGCAGAGTTGTTTGAGAGGTCACCGGTTCGAGAATGATCGCCTAAAAATGGTAATCGAGGGTTAAGATAATTATCACAACAGCCAGAGTAAGATTTCTAATTACCTTAACCTTTTATTAATTTACCATTCCATTAAGTCATAATAATAATGTCTAACACCTTCTTGGTTAAGTAGTTCTCACAACAACACATTTTTCCTTCTATTACAAGCAGTTTAGGATTTGGGCACCAACAAATGTATTTCCTTCGATTTTATTCATAAGTCACTTTTTAAAAAGGAATTTATAATCTTTTTTATAAGTTACTTTGCATTAAAAACTTAATTATTGATGACTTTCTTCCAATTTTACTCTTTTACCATTTTCAATGAGTGAGGAGTTAAAAGTTATATGAGAGAGAAAGTGTTTTTAAAGATAATACATTTAGTAAGGGTAAGTTAGGAAATTTTTTTGTTTTTTAGACAATATCAATAATTTAATTATTTTTTTTATTTTGATAAAGTAATTAGAAGTAATTTATAAAAAGGCACTAGAAAAAGTACACTTTTTGGAAGCTTTCAGGCTTCAAATTAATGACATCAACTCCAACACCTTCCATTATTTGGCCACGTACAGGTATGTTTAGTGAAGCGGACTCAGTGATATTGGTAACTTTCTCCTCCTGCTACTTGGTTATAGGTATAGCAGTTTAGAGTCGTACTATTACCACGTGGTAGTAAAAAAAGGAGAAAAAGCATTATCGACGAGATAATCCAACTTAACTAGAGTACGACACACACACATACACACACTAATTGTCAGAACAACACAATCCACACAACAATATCCATTTTAAAGCCATATAATAACATCAGAATTCAGTTATATTCACACATCAAGAATAAAGAAAAATAAAACACTTAGTTGCCTCCGGCTTTCACGTAAGAAGGGAGACCATAATTTACTAAATTGAGCTTCAATTCTATATAGACACCCACATATAGATAACCTCAACCTACAAATTCTAATGTTACTATTTTAGTC